AGATTTGCTCACACACTCGTTTAAACGCCACCTCTGTTTGCTCTCTGTTGTGCTTCGTGTGGCTTACGCCCAGTTTTTCACTTCTTTTCAAAGTTTCGCTCTACTTTGTTTTGATTGATTTTTTTCCTCTCCATTAAGCCCCCCGTTCGTCATATTTCAGAGTCGGAGCGTGTCAGAGGAAAACCCTTCTAGCCCTCAGACAGAGGTCCCTGGCATGCTCTGAGCCCTGCCTGAGGCAGACAAGATGAGAGGGAAGGAAAGCTCGGATGAAAATGTGATGGGCTGGTAGACTGAGAGGAAATCTGTCCTTTTTGTACTCAATAGTTTATTATTACTATTATTAATTAACTCCGCTTCTTCTGACGTCACCCTTTGTTTCAAAGACGGCTTCACTTCCTCGTAGTTCTGTTTCCCCCCTGATGAAACAAATTATTACTCTAGTGGTTGGCGGAAGGAAACCCATTTAGCATCACCTTGGACAGGTACAGCTCTTTCCTAATTAAACGAGTTATGCAACTGTGGAGTTTCCACATCACTCTAAATAACTCGTGGCAGATACTGAGACGCCCAGAGACGAGTCCCTTGGAAATAAACAAGCCGGTTTTAGGCTGGTTGAACGATTTGTGTGGCTGTCAGATCTTCCCTCCGCTTCCTATAATCCACTTTTAGAAGTGTCAAGTTTGTTTTCTTTCCAAGCTTTTGTCTGTGTAGAAACCGTGATGGTGCAGTCTGTGTGCCTGTTTGGGCTGTGGGAGGACAGAGTCTCACTCTGGGTGTCATCTGTGGCCTCCACTGGCTGCAGCGCTGAGAGGACGTGGCGCATGTTTGTGTGCATCTATATGAATGTAACATGTAGCGGGGACAGGAGATCCCAGATTCACTGCTGCTGCAGCAGACAGAGGTGTGGGATTAGGAATTTTTTGGTGCTTTTCTCTCACTACAGCGATGATGCATCACACGGTTGCATCGTGAGGAGCTCCTACATGAGCAGCAGAAGTCTGCAGGCAAACGAGGGACACTCACCCGTCACTCTGAGTGTTGTGACTGAAGCGAGAACTGGGATAGTGTTGTTGGTAGTCTGAGGTCGGTGAATCACAGGCTGGTTTTGGAGCAGCAATGCAGATTTAGATTTTATTTCTGATCTAACAAGACTTAAAAAGATATAATTAGCCATCTATAAAAGTTATATTAACATCTTATCTGTTGTGTTCTGCTTCCTGAATGATCTCTGTTCAGAGTTTACTTTGTGCAGGACCGATGAGCTAACGGCTAGTTTGAATGCAGCCAATGTTAAAGAGCTGTGTGGGAGGTGTGTGCCGGCGGGGAATGTCACGGCATCTTCCATCTGCCCTCTGAACCGTACCTACTGCAGGGTTTTAGAAGCTTATTAAGGTCTCTAGTACGAATAAATGCCTTGTAAGTAATTTTCAGTTCAAATAAATAAATAAATAAATAAAAGCTCTGGCGCGCCTGTTTCAGGAAGTAGAATTTATTGGGAGAGGCATGGGAAACTGGAAATTGCACGGTGTGATCCGAGCTTTAAACAGTGTTGACCCTTAGCACGTGACGTCACGCCACTCGTGTGACCGCCCCCTTCGCCATGATGGACGGCAAAAAGACCGTTTACACCCGTAGGAACTCCAGTGAAGCTAGTCAAAACAAGCCAGTTTGGAGCCTTTTATGGCTTTTATTTAGTTGATTTGACAGTAAAATGGTTTTAGCTTGCTGCGTGGTCGGCTGCACTGAGACAAGGATGTAAACTCAACTCGTTTTTTCTTTTTAATAACTTTGATGGAGACTGAGGACGGAGGTGAACCGCAGCGATCAATCAAGCGGACTAGCAGGCCTCAGATTTACAGCAAACATGTTTTTAGCGGGTAAGATTAACGTTCATTTATTCCACGAGGAAGACAGGGACAGGGATACATGTGATGTGTTTATACTGGTTATTGATAATCCTGATGGATGGTATTTCACCACGGAAGCCGCGCGCCGTCCACTGTAGTGTAAAGTGAGATAATTATTAACAATATTAAAGCTCCGATGTACGATTACGTGTGTTAAAATGACGTTATTTATTTATATGAGCATTGGCGTTCAGAGATCTTCTAATTCCGGTGTGAGAGCAGCAGCTGAACCCGGTAAAACCACCAGCAACAGAAGCTGGCAGGGATCCGGACTTTTAAACAATCGGCTTTGGTGTAAAGTGAAACGCTGTTTACAACATAAAGTTATGAATCCACAGGGGTGAATTTAGGCAAAGTCCGCAACATGTTTAACAACAGCACACTTGCATCAACAGCATTTATTATGTGAAGTGCCTTGAGACGACTCTTGTCGTGATTTGGTGCTATATAAATAAACTTGAATTGAATTGAATTGAACTGAATTTACATCAGTGAACAGCTGCAGAGAGAACGTAAGCTAACGTTGGTAAGCTAGTTAGCATACCGCTCTCTATGAGCCCCGCTAGACGCGCTACTTCTTCTGATAACTGAACTGCGCATGAACTAGTGGGAGGAATGCTGGAGGAGTTTTGTTTTTGTTTTGATCGCAAATACAATTTCAGGCTCCACTTTTCCCTTTGTTTAGTAATCGTGTCGCTCACTGTTTACATGCTTTTGCCGTCCACCATGGTGGACCCACGTGATTAGGTGACGTCGGCGCAAAGGGTCAATAAGAAAGGTTTAAATAATTGTCCTCAAAATCCCTAGCCGTTAGCTCATCAGTCCTGTGAGAAATAACTCCTGTTTCTCCAAACATTCATAAAGCTATAAACAGGTAAGATATTGATTACTCAGAAACACACAGCAGTAATCCCATAAGTTAAAAAAAAGTTCTGGTTGTGCAGAGACATTTAATCATCACCCCGTCAATAGGAGGAAACTGTTAGTAATATCTGACTCACTTATTTTTCCTTTTCCTCCTCTGGTGCCTTTCCTACTTGGGCGATGACATGAAGTGGAAAAGCACCCCTAGCTTCAGCTAGCCCCCTCGCTCCCTACAGCTTCCAGTAATTATGAGTGTAAGTTGTCAGGGACGTGTGTGTGCCTGTTCAACCAAGCCTTAGGAGAGGCGGGCTCTTCATGCATGAACACACACACACACACACACACCGTGTCCTCTCCTTTCTCCCTAAAGCTCTGCACCAGATCAGTCCGGCATGCTTCCACCTCAGCCTGAGGGGAGCCTCCTCCTGCTGGGGCCACAGTCCCACAAACTCAAGGAGGGTCTGGACGTCATCCTCTGCAAGGTTGTGTTCTGTAGTTACCTGTCTGGTGACACGGCCAACTGGAGACTACAAGATTAGACTAACTGATAAGATGGTAATAAGTCTCTATTATCTGACAATATGTGATCTGCACAACAGCGTGCCTGGACAACAACAACCTGCAAAAATCTCAAATGCACACTTCGCAGAAAAAAGCTTGTTAAAGCAATAAAGCACTTTAATAGCCAGAGGTTAAATCAATCTAAGGCTGTGCATCAACACAACAACTGAATAGTTTGAAATGCACAACAAAACACAAACAAACAACTAACTTTTGTCTAGTAGAAAAACACAAATCAACAAATTGTTATACAATAGATAATGCACAATGCAAATAATTGCAACATGAAGTGCGTCACAAAGACCTGCGGTTTAAACCCGGGGTAGCTTATAATAGTGTTACAACACACCGAAACAAACAGTATCAGCAAAGATCACCCCACTGCACACTATCTGATTAATCTGTGCAAACTCTTTTCTGCATCTTTTCATTTATTTAGTCCAAGCTGCACCTTAAAGGTAATTCTGTTATACTCTGCATGAGCAATGATGTTTTGTGACTGCATAAACTCAGTTTAGGGTTTTTTTATTGTCCATGTTACCCGTGACTAGCTGGTTTTACAGTTGTGTTTAGTTATAGATAAGAACTATAAGGCGTAATTATAGAAAGACGGTTTTACGTGACTACAAACAGGTATGACATGAAAAAATGACAGCATGTTTCTGCAGAGATAATGATAATCTGCACAATGACAGAACACGACAGACTTGGACTTTTGGTGTTGTTTTCCTGTCAGTACACTTTGAACTTCAGGGTGAGATTTTTACCGAGTATGCAGTCTTATTACACATTTAAAGTTTTTGGAAAGGTGGGCTTTTTATACATACGATGCATCTGTGGAAGCTCAGAGCTGCCACCCACACAAAACAAAATTAGAGCGATATCGCGTTATTACGTCATAACTTTATTGTTCAAAGTCAACAATATAACTTTTCACGTACATACAACAGATTATCACATTTGTACCATGGACGTAATTTTCACTTTAGAAGTGGGGGGGGCACGGGGGGGGGGGATCTTTACAGTATGCTCTAATGGGAAACAGGCTTCAACACAAACGGTTGTTTTCTGCTTGGTCCTAGAGCTCAACTAGTGTCAATTTAATATAGCGTAATATTGTTTTTGGATGGTAAAAAGTGCAGGGGTCAAAACTTGACTTTGGAAAAAGTGGGGGGGACATGTCCCCCCTGTCCCCCCCCCCAAAATTACGTCCATGATTTGTACAATAAATGTTCACATTTGTACTACATACATATTTGTCACATCTGTTATAATACTTTCGTACAATATAAGTACTATAAATATAAATATATTGTACAAACATGGACGTTATATTGTTAAAATGATAAAGTTAAGATCTTGTAAGGTGATAACGCTCCAGTTTTACTATGCGTGGGTGGCAGCTCTACATGGCCACATAATGCAACTAACAATTTCATGTTTTAATCTTATTTCCGTAATTTTTAAATTAAGATGTAAAACGTGACTCAGAAATTGAATTTTACTAAAAATGCTGTTCTGGTCCTTTTCTCTCCCGGTAGTAGGGTAGTAGTAGTGGCAGCAGCCGTGGAGGGTGGCTGGAACAGCCGCCGCGGCTTAAGCGCTGCCATTGGTCGGTTCCTGGTTAGTAGGCGGGGCCTACCGTGAACAAAAACTCAGGCAGCGCTCGCGCCGACAAGTATCAACGTTTCGTTGCTAGGCTGCGATGGTGTCCGCCAATATCGGGAGCTAAACTAGCTGCGTTCCGTTCACTTAAGTCCCACAAAAGGAAGTTATCGCGTTTCTGTTTAATCCGTCGTTTCCCAGATTAACTCGTGAAGTTCGGCCGGAGGAACGACGCCATGGACGCGGTGTTTCTGCTGTGTTTGGCGCTGACGGTCGGAGCGTGGCTCGCCACCGCGGAGAGGCACAGCGTCTACTGGAACAGCTCCAATCCGAAGTAAGTATCTTTCTTCAGTCTGAAAAGTTACTAATGAGTCGCTCAGTCCTCCAAAGCGAGCGAAACTTCCGGCCTTTGTGCATTTTCCACACGTTAAACCGCCATTAAAGCGTTATTACCAACCAGTTCACGCTGCTTTTGCTGGTTTCCCATCGTGAAGGGACCGACCCTGTGCACCGGTCTGGCATGTTGGGTCTGAGAGCAAGCAGCCGGATGGAGAAGCCGGGGATCGCGAGCGGGTTGCCTGACAGATGGACGGATCCATCGCTATATTTAACCACATCAGACTCAGACGCACGCTAATAGCAGAAAATAGATTGACGAGTATGAACTTGGCCCGTGCAGGCTCTGCACCTGCGTGTGTGTCACTGAACAGGCGTGTCTGTTAGGAGCTAATTGCCTAATGTTTTTATCTGAGATGTTTTCCCATTAGGGAGAGTAGATAACCTGGAAGGAGCGTGAGTCAGAGAGAAGGACCAGTAGTGCTGATGGTTTAGATTTGAGGTCAGAGGTGTAATGCGATCCGACCACTCAGTGGCATCGATCGGGCTTGACATCTCAGCGCGATTTATCGAGCTTTTAGGGACTCATCTTAGCTCTATGATATTTTTTAATCGAGCCGTACCCGAAGGAAGGACCCCTTTTTTGTCTGGTCGATTTAAACCCAAGTGGTCCATTATGGGCTTTAATGTCTTGATTGCATTACGGGCTCACTTGATTGTCCCTTACCAAGGACAATTACCAAGAGGGTTAAAAAGGAGAAAACAATAGCTGTGATAATTGGATCCATAGTGAGCAATGCTTGTGTCATTAGTGAGCCCATGTCTGATCCACCTGATGTACACTTGAGTCACCTCAGACAGGGGAAGGGGGGGGGGGGTCTGGCTCAGGTGAGGCTCTGAGACAACGGAGGGGGGGCTCTTTTATGCCCATCTCTAATCACACCCTGGACCATTTCTGCTGTCTAAAGGAAGTTGCGTAAGAAAATCATATTGATAAACAACACAGATTGATAAACAACACAGATTGATAAACAACACAGATTGATAAACAACACTTTGTATTTTTGAAAACTCCTGGCTGACCCCCACCTGACTGGTCTTGTTCTAATCTCATTCTATCCTCCTCTTACTTCCACTTCTTCTCTTCCGTCTTCCTGTGACCCATCCGTCTGGTTCGGTAGTGGTTCGATCCGCGGATGACTGGTGCGGATCGATTATTGGTCTGATTCAGGTGATTAATCTTCCAGGAGGGGGGGACGCTGACCAGATGGCAGCGGTCTGCTCATTCATGCCTCACATTACGGCGATGTGGTAACCGCCGTCCACCTCGTCGGCGTGGCGATCACGGTGTAGTCCTGACAGGATAATTGTTTTTGTGCACCACTTTCTTACATGACAGGTGGAGTCGGGTCCCGTCTTGTTTTTCCACTTCGTGTCCCGGCCTGCGCGGGTCTTGTTAGCATGTGTGAGGGAGAGGTTGAACTTGCACTGCCCTGAACTGGCTTTTAACTGGGAGCAGGCTTATTTTTGTTTTGAACTGGCAGCGTGTGTGTGTGTGTGTGTGTGTGTGTTTCCACGTCAGAGTTGAACAGGGAGTGGTTGTTACTGTAGACAGCCTTACCGAGACATGATAAATGTGTGACTCACACTTACACACTCTGGGGGGCTTGGGGGAGGACCAGGGTGATAATATTAGCCACAGACAGCATTCCACCCTCCTGTTACTATGCACAACTCTGTCAGCTGTGCGTGCAGGAGTGTGCTCCTCCCTCCGTACCTGCCTGCTCCTCCCCCCCGTACACCTCCAAACATCTGGATCCCCTCCCAGACCAGCTGCAGGCCACTCAGCTCTTTGTCTTTTTGCCTGTTATCACTTATCTGTGCTGTGAGGCTGCAGTCATCCATCATCGGTGGCCCGGGTGCCTCCGGAGTGCGAGCAGATCTGTTTAATCAGGACACGGGTGTAATGTAATATTCTGCTCACATTGAGCCACCTCAGGCCTGCCTCCACATGTTTGTTGAGTTTGACGTGAAGGTGGCCGACGTCAGCGCCGCCTGTCACATGCGTTTGTGCACGTCGTTCCAGCTCTTTTCCTTTTGTTTACTTGTTGTTTTCCCTCCCTGGCCCGTGTGCTGTCTGGTTGTTGTTCTAATCTCACCAGAACGAGAAGGCGCACACTCGTGCACGGACATGCAGATTACAGACAGCTGGTAATCTGACCCACAGACACAAAGCCATCGTCCTGCCACCCTCGCTGTGTGTATGATCTAATATTTTGTGATGTAACTCCGGTTCTGTTAGCAGGATGATCGATCTGAAAGAGTCACA